TAAAGGTTTAATATCGAATAAAAAATACACAGTTATAATTTGTTTCTTGGTCTTTTATTCATTGTAATTTTTCTTCATGAACAATGCAGTTCAAAAGTGAAAACATATTTTTTATGAGGAAACGTCAATTTTTTAGAAAAAAATACAGAGTGGCTCAAAAGCAAACTACCTTCAATCATTAGGTAGGTAATAGAAAAAAAATTATTTAAACTTTTTTCAGAATGACATTTTTTTCATGGGTTGACGTATGGTGGCTGCTTTTGGGACATCTGTATACACTCCTCATGGCATGGCAAGAAAAACGCAATTTTAGTGTTTATTCTTGTTATTGATTATAATTTTTTTAAAGCAACTGGGAATACGATTTTAGATTTGGATTATGAATTATAAAATAGTTATTACTGTTGAAGAATTTGTTTTGAAATTTTGTTAGAAGTAAAAGCAAATAAATGTTTATTTTTATTTAATTAACTGTTAATCATTTGTACGTTGATTCAATTCAATTAATTCTACCTTGAAAATCAATAGTTACAACTCATCTGTTTATGATAAAATAACACTATTAAACTAAACGGATCTAATAGTCAATAAAATAATCAATCCACTGCTTGCTGTAACAATAAATTTCCACTTCCGCAACCTCCACTCCGAATATAAATCCACATCTTCAGCTCCCGAACAAAGAGCACGCCCTTTAATTAGGTGCTCTAAATGCAAAACCCAAGCAATGCACACAACCAGTGAAAGGTTGGGGCTGTTGACAGCGGCACCAGGAACCGGCCCGGAGTCCCAGACTCCGGGACCTTGCCCCTTCCTTAACGTCCTCCTTCACCTTATAAAAGGTAAATGGCGACCCCCGCGTTACTTTAGTGCAGTGTCTTCCATCCATAAACATGTTGTCTTTTAGATACGTGAGTAACTTTTATTTTCTACCGGAGTTTGAGTGAGTGATTGAGTGTCTAGTGACGATTTTCACAATCACATTTTTGTAGCAGTGTCGTGTGACAAAGTCACGTTTTATTGCATGATTTGAACGTAAATTATATTGTTGTTGCATGAAAGCAGAAAAAAAATGGAAAAAGTTGGGAAATTAGAACAACATATTGTTTTAAAGTCTTTGTTCCATGTGACAATATAAGATATAGTAGAGCAAGAAAGTCAAGGTTTTGTGCAAGATACGGAACTAGGGGGGTGGCATGGTCATGACATTATTGCAAATTTCTTTATGAAATATTAATTGAGCTCTAGAGTGGTAATTTTGATCAAGATCAGCCGGTTCTTAGAGAAATGCTGGACGAGGAAATTGCCTTGAGATAATTTCATAGGTTTCCATTCTTAGGCAACTCCTCCCTGTTCTTGTTCAAATTTCAATGCCATATGAGTACGTTTGCATAAATTACTAATCTCTCCAACTTAGACTAAATACATAATTCATTCTTGCAATATTGGAATTTATTAAAATTTGTTTTGCATGAAGTCATGCACAATATCTGTTATCTGATACCATTGACAATTAGTAAATAATATAGAAAGGGAAAAGCTCCATTACGTGTGTTACAGATAGATAAAGGCGTGGTCCTTTCATGTAATGTTCTTACTTTCGTTGTCTTTGAAACCAATTTAAAAATTATCTAATAAATAGACGAAAGTGAGGTCTACAATCTGGACAAATTTGAAATTCCAATCAATTTTTTATCAAAGTTGATATCGCAACTCTTGCGGTTAATTTTTATAATTATTGTATTGAACACCCACAGGTTCTATACAGTTATAATAAGCCTGAGTGCACACGACGTAAATGGTATTTATAAATATGTATTTATGAAAATTAATTAATTGCAGATTCTATCTTAAACATTTAAAGTGGATCACGCGTTTTGTTCTTTATACAACAGATACAATCTAAATTTCCATATCTGGTATTTTTTTTAATTTAGCATTTTATAGTAACCAAAAAAATTAATTCAATTTGCTCCATTTACATTTTTTAGAACGAATTACAAATTTGAAACAATAATTACATATCAAGTTATAAATAGAAAAAAAAAATTTGGTACCAAACGTATTTAAGTAAAAGTATTTATTTTTTGAAAAACAATTAATCAATGATAAATGTGACCTTTTTTAAAATTTTTTGTTTTTGAGTTATGCAAAATTTGTGCTTTTTTCAAATCGTGATTCACTATAAAATCACTTTGCAAAAGCTATGATCTAAGGACTACAACTATATACGTTTTATTTATTTTTTAAATTTTTCATATAAAACGCTATTTAAAAAAAATCACATAACTTAAAATCAAATCAAATTTTCATTCTCAAAATATAATCAATTTTTTTTACAAAGTTTTAGTTTTTATTAATTAATAATTATTTTCTGAAGAGAAATAATTAAAAATTATTTTACAATTTAAATTTAGAATATTTTTTTTTCCAACTTTTTAAAGTTGATGGTGAGTTTTTCAAGTCTTGTGATGTATTTTTAGTGTCTACCATTTAGTAACACAAAATAATAGTTATTAGTCGGATATAATTTATTATTCTGTTACATTACTTATCAAAAAGCAAAAAAATATCAAAAATCATTCAGTTTTTAGAATATTTGTAAGCATAAAAAATACAAATTATCTATTTTCTTTCTGAGACCAAGCTTAAACTCTTTAAAATAAATAAGTATATTAAATAAAAATAATTTATTTTTATATGAAAGGTATAACAAAATATATTTATCATTTTTATTATTTCTCCTTCTTTCTTATTTCTTATTTTATCATTCTTCTTTGTTTCAAAAAGTGAAAAAAATACTAAACAAAAATATTAAAGAAGAACATACACAATGACCTATCTAATTAAAAAAAATCTTATTACTAAATAATAGCAAAATTAAAATTTAATGTTTTTATTTTAGTGGAAATGTGTTTCTTTAGAAATTTGTTTTATTATAATTTTAGAGTATTTTTCTTTTGGTTTTCCTCTTTTGTCAAATGTATTTCACTATTACTCAAAACTAATTCATTTGATAAATTAATGTCAAAGCGACGTAGTTTTGAGAAATAGTGAAATGCATTTGACAAAAGAGGAAAACCAAAAGAAAAACACTGTATGTATTATTAATATTTTCAGTCAAAAGGTTTTAGTCAAAAGAAGACTGTATATACAAAAATTGTTTATTTAGTAATTAAAGATTTAGAACTATAGTTTTATAAAATTATTTGAAAACCGATTCAAAAAAAAAACAAAAGGTGAGAAATTCTAAAGTAAAATAATAGAAGTATTACCTACTTAAAAATCTATGTTTGGGACTTTCTGTAAAACAAAACTATAACGGTTTTTCATTTCTTTTTCAAATTATGTTGAACAAAAATTCTCATTTATCTCAGAATTAAACAACACAAGTAAAAATACACATATTAAAGAATAAATAATTATAACAGATCTGTTACCGAAAACTTTCAGTTGGTCTAAAAATCCATACCGGTTTTTTGATGTACGTAATAAGTGGTAGCTCCTGTTTCAAAACCCACCTAAGTAGTGCAATTAAATAATACTTTTCTACACAAAAATATCAAAAATTATATAAAATCAACAACCAATTTATTATTAAATTTTTCCAGGTGGCTGTGTTTGCTTTATTGGCTGTAGCTTTTGGTCAAGATTTCGACTATGATTCTTCACCTCCAAGACCGGCTCCCCACCGCGTGAAACCAAGTTATTCCGGACCAACAGCAGCTCCAAGACCAACACCCGTGCCAATCCTGAAACAAATTAACAGGTACTGAAACCAAAACCACAAAAACAAAATTGTTTCATGAAAATTTTCAGACACAATGAAGACGGTTCCTACACTTATGGTTACGAAGGTGCTGATGGTTCCTTTAAAATCGAAACCAAACTCCCCACCGGAGAAGTCAAAGGCAAATACGGCTACGTGGACGACACTGGCAAAGTCCGCGTCGTAGAATACGGTGCCACCAAATACGGTTTTGAACCAGCTGGTGAAGGCATCACCGTAGCTCCCCCAACCCTCGTCGACGAAACCACCAACAAAGACGGAACTTTCAACCCCGAATACACTGGAGCTTACTACGACGACCAACCCCAAAGTCCTTCCAGATCCGCCCCCGCGCCACGCCCCCAAATCCAACCCCAATTTGAGTTCTCCGGACCCCAGCAATTCAGTCCAGCTCCCCAAAGAAACGCTGCTCCCGTACCCCCAAGAGCTCAAATACCTGGAGCCTCCCCTGTAACCACCCACAACTTCGAATTCGGGCCTTCGCCCCGCCCAGTTGCTAAAAGTTACGCCCCAGCGGCGAGAAGCTACGCTCCTGCCACTAGACCAGCCCCAAGACCCGCCCCAGTGTCCTACGCTAGACCCGCCCCAATTGAGGAAGATTTTGGCGAACCAGAACAAGCTCCGATTAGAACCCAACCTAGAATTACCTACGCCCAACCTGCTCAACCTCAAAGGAACCATATCTCCGAACCACAGTTTGCCCCAGCTGCCAGACCTGCACCCCAATACGCCCCCAGACCACAACCCTCTCCTGTAGGACGTTCCGGGGGAATTTTAGATCAACTTTCGAAAGATTATGCCCTTCCACAAGGCGGGGCGGCCCCATTACACGATATTAGTTTTGGATATTATTAAATCTAGTTGCCAAACATAATGATACATCATATTGTCACATTTTCTAAACAAATTAATTTTTTCTTTTTTTGCATATTATGATATGATGTATTATTATTTATTTAAAATTATAAATAAAACATAATTTTCGGGACAAACTAGTCCTGTGGCTGGACAAACCCAGTTGATATTCAACTGTTTTTACTAGTAAAAAGACGATCTTGTTTCCTACGATAACGTGATTATTGTCTATTTTTGACTATCCTGTATATAATGACTGTGTTTGTCAAATTGTTAATAACCAGTGACGTAAATCAATGACAAAAAATTTTGAGGCAGGATATGTATAAAGTTAGTCTAAGATTCGTAAAAATTGCTCAAATTGAAATTAATCGTTTATCTTTTATAAATATTGTTTTTCTATTGTAAATGTAGAGCTATGGAATTGTTTAATCAGTAATTACATTCAAAAGTGTAATTCATTTGTTGTATTATGTAAAGACAATTTTAAATAAAAAATATTTTCTACCACATTTAAATTACTAGGTCAGAATTAGACTGAAAAACTAAAGTTTGCATAAGAATTTTGTAAAGTTTATTGCAGTTTTCATATTTTTGTTTGTTTTTAAAATTTTTATTTAATTTTTTATACCGAAGTGTTTAGTTTAACTTTTTTAAAATATAAGCAGTGTTTCCAAAAAATAAATAAAAGTAAAATTTAGTAGATTCGAGTTGAAATAGTTGCCAATCTTACACTTATTTTTATCAATTAACAAAATTACAAATTTTTTCCAAAAATGTCAAAAGTTTACGTTTTTTTACATAAACTGAGTGTTCAAAGTCAAATATGGGAGAAATATAATAATTTTCTAAAACAATTTAGTAACTTTTGATTTGGTATAAGAAAATTTCGCAAAGTTTTCAGCTTTCTAAACTGCTTAAACTCTCAAAAATTACAAAAACGACATCATTTTTGGTCTAATTCTGGATAATAATTGCAAAATCTCACATAAAACGTGAGATAGTGTTTTTGTTTTTTAAAAGTGTTTGAATAACATTTTGCAAAATGAATGTGCCTCTGATCTAAAAACGAGGTAAGTCGAGTAAAAACCTACAAAACAATATCACTTTTGAGTTAGTTTTGTAATGTTTTAGCTTGTTAAAACACATTTTTTTTGTTTATTTTTGGTTTTACCTTAAACGTTCCTAAACATTAAAAAACAGCAAAATTACACCAATTTTTGGTCTATTTTGTTAAATTCGACACTTGTTTATAATTTTGCAAAATAATTGTTTCTAGCTAAAAAATAATCAAATTTATAGTTCAAAAGCGTGGAAAATGCTGCGAAAAAGTGTCTTTTAGTATCAACCTTATTTTTGAGTTATATGAATCTTTTTCATTTTCACTAAACCGGAATTGTTACTATAAAATAACAAAAAGTCGACAAAACACATACAGATATATCTGTTTTAAGTATTTTTGTATTTTTTTTTTAGTTTATAATAATCGTAAAACAATTTATAATTTTTTTCTTATCAACTTTTGTATAAATAAAACATTTGGTTGAGACAGGCAGCCAATAAAACACTTGTGTAATGTTGAAGAAGATGATGAAATGTGAATACAAAAAAAGAAGCTACATTTGTGTTTTTAAGCTCAATCTTACTAAAATTAAGTATTATTCATACGATTACATTTTTTTCTTCAAGGTCCAGTTTTGAAGACTGAAGTAAACAACAAATAAAACTTATTATTATGTAATTAGATATTCATCTTTTCCTTTTGAAACATTTTTAATGTTTAGAAGATGAAGCATTTTTATCTTTGTAGTCGCAGAATATTCTCAAACTACTTTAAATACAAAAGAAAAATAAAGTCCAAGTTTAGGTTGCACAAAAGTTCCACGCTCGACCATGCCTTGTAGATTTTGCAAGTGGCAAAAATGAATAATGTAGACTTTTGAATAAGTCATTAAGACAAGTTAACAATATTAAAAACAGTCACGCAATTAACAGTTTAGGACAATACAGGTGTACTCGATTATATCAGTGTTAAAAGCTTGCTATTTCTCCATCTTCACTGCCTTGCATGAAAAACAAATTTGTTTGTTTTTCTACAGAGATAATTGTAACAATTCAAGGACTGCAATTATCGGAAAAACAGGAGCCCCCAGACTGTCTTTGCATAAATTTTAGATAGAGCATCATTCCCATTTCCATTGTTTCCATGTCTCGGTCCGGTGACAATTGTGCGTATTAAAAAATTACCCAATGCTCAAGTACAGAAGCCACAAATCAAGTTTTTATGCACCACAGTTAGCACACCGAAATTTGGGTCGAAAAATGCCGATTTGGTCTCATCGATGGCATTGAGCAACGAAGATCTGACATAGATATTGTATAATTTATGTATTTAAAAAATGCCGATGCTCCAGATGTAGAAAAAATAGATTATGCAAATCAATTTCACCATTACCAAAATATTGTAAGTCGTCGAACCACTTCGAAATGTCGTCCAAGCTTTCTAAAAATATGGAAATCAATTGGAAGTGCGACGAATCTTCACTCAATGAAGATATTTAGAGCAAAATATTCAAAACTGGAGCGAAACCGGTCAAAAACTCTATTGGTGCAATAAACAAGAAATGCAATGAAGCAACAGTGACTTTTTGTGTGAAATTAATAAAAATTTGCACTGTTTCAAAAACTAAGTGCAAAAATGACAGTTATTATATCTGATTATAATAAAGAAAAATGTGTTTAACAGCTTTGTCGTTTAATCATGATTGTTTATCTCTTTAAGAATGCGGTTCAATTGCTTCACTGTGGTAATGAACTTAATTTATTGCGATTATATAATTTTGTGGTTTATATTTTGCTTTATTTATGCATTTCTTTCAGTAAGTCAAGATTACAAATCAAAAATTGTGATAGAAACATCAACAAAACAATGTTTTCTTGCAGACCTGTAGCTTGAAACAATTTTTAGGTAGAACGCTCAAAATTTTTTAATGGGGCTAGAACATTTTGCATTTTTAGTACATGTTAATTTTTTTACTATAACTAATGTAAGTGAAAGGTTTCAAAATAAAATTATTAAATCGTAATTGTAAATAGTATGAATCTTCTATTTTCGTTTATCAATTTGAAAATAAACAAAAGTTTGCTTAAATGTTAAAATAGGTACATTTTTTTAGCCTGAATTTTATTCAATTGCTAATTGCTAATACAGACTGAACCAAAAGTAACGCACAAAATTAACATCTTTATTAATGGTCGTTTTTCAAATAAATCTTTTGATATTATTAGTGACATTTATGAAATCATTAGTTTTTGAGTTGTCAATTCTTAAATAACAACTGAGATTTTGTTGGCACATCATTATCTTTCTGGTAATAAGAAAAAAAATTAAATTAAGACGTAAAAAAATTAATTAAAAAAAATTATAATAATAAAGGTCTTTATTAATAAATTAAAAGTAATACAAAGATGCGGAGGCGAAGTCTAGCTTGAAGCTATTCAACTTAACCTCAAAAGAAAATTGATAGAAATAAAACAATTATAACATAAAAATAAAAATTATTATTATAAACAATATAAAATTTAAATAAAAATAAATTCGGAAGTTACTTAATAACTAAAAGTAAAGAAAGAAATCATTGCCAGTCTCTCAAGAACAACAAGAAAAAACAAGA